CCGAAGCACCTGTTACTGTCAGAAATGGTATATTGGCCTTGATGAACCAACCCTCTGTCACTACATAACAACACAAGGTATTTTTATTTTCTAATTTCAGTAGGAATCTGGAGACAGACAAAACAGAAAAAGCAATACAGCACCTTTATAGTCAATTATCAGGTAGTTTGAGCTGGGAAATCCCATGTGGAAGTAACTATAACTATTGCCCCTGTAACTGTTCTCCAGACCGAACTCAGGAAATCATTTAAGCTTATGCTAATATGCCTCCCTTTTCACGAAACCACTTGAGAACCAATTCTGCAAGGAACTTGTGCACTTTGAAGAGTCTTAATATAAAACACAGATGCTTCAGTGCTTTGCTGACCTTGAGCCTTAAATACAGACTTAGTTTTACATTTTAAACAGGGTTGAAGCATGCCTGCCAGTTAAATATGTGCATACACGCTGCTGTGTACAAGAACATTTCCTCAGTAATGGCTGCAGCAGGTCCAAATCTGATTTCCCTTGAGAGTCGCAAACTACTTGTCTACTCTGAAACAGAGACATTTAACAGACGCATTATAATGGCCCTGGGAAAAATATTACTCATCTCCACAGAGGTTTAAAAAATGGTATCGTGGAAACTTAAAGGATCCTACTACATTTGCTACTGATAGCTATTTTGTCATTAGTTATTTTTGCCAAAGTGTTTGATGAGGTCTACCAAGATTTTTAACAATAAGATGAACCATTCAAAACATCAAACCCATAATCTTGGCTTGGATTTCAAAAGTATATATTCACCAAAACCCTTTACCTCAAATTTTCCTTTCACAATATGTTAATGTTATCCTAAATAGAGCAAGATGAAGATAAACTAAAAGGAATAACAAAACTCTATTTGACCTTGCTAAATGCAATCAGGCTGTTATACTTTTGGTAGAGAAGCAGCAATAAAATGAAAGTTCACATCCTGCTTTTTTTCAGTGAGACATCTCATTGTCCTAATATACAAAACAGAGGGTAACATTTATTCTTTCTCTTGGTTCTACAATAGCCGTTTTTAAAGTTTCTTTCTTCTCCTAATGTAGATATAAAAGCCAATTTACTTTAGGGTATCTTTAGGACAGATGAATCAGACCCTCAGATTGCCTATTTTTTGTAGATGTCCTACAAAATCTAAAAGTGTATCCATATGGTTGCAGAAAAGTAAACTAGGGAGCTAGCTTGAGCACTGACCTTCTGATCATATGCATTACTTAGTGGCTCATGTCCTGCCTCTGATCTAGACTGTTCTGTTCAAACTTGTCTTCAACACAAAATGGCAAAAAGGGCAGATAACCATTATCACTATGGGCACAAGCCAAGCTGTGCTACTTGGTGTTAGAGGTATCACAAGGGATCCTAGGTACACAAGATGAATGTTTACCAAGTTTTATGATGATTCTAGAAGTTCCCTGCCACTTTATGTCCCGATGCTTTTTGGCACTTTCAGCACTATTTCAATAATGCGCAGGCTGACTTTCACATTTGTGTTCCAGAAGGAGAACAAAAGATAAAGCTGTTCATCAGTTTTCTTACACGGCTACTGAGAAATCCTACACACAAGATTCTGATCTAAAATGGATTTCTGGCTACTGGCAGTTTACCAATCACTTCAGCTTATTATGACAGTAAATGTCAAACATTTCAACACCAATGTAAAATAATACAAACTGATTTTATGCGACAGAACACTAACCTTCTTTCCACTTGTTTGAGAGCCATCCTCATTTTCTCTTCGTACTGCTTATACTTTTCTGTGCTAACATATATGTGAACTATAGTTCCATCTTTCCAGAAGGTATGTACAAACTTTTCACAGTATTTTGCATGAATTACCTTCCTCTTTGTCTCCTACAGCCAAGAAAAACATGTTTCATGTTCCAAAACACATTATTTTGCAGTGCCTTTAGTATTTGGTGAACAAACTTCAAAGGTACCTGCTTGTTGCACATGAACAGGTGCAGAAATAGACATGGGATAGGGTGGTCACAGAATTTGCTCCTAGCAAAAGTCAATATTAGCTGTTTTTATTCTTGTAGCTAGCAAGAACAGAAGCTTACCAAACAGCTTAAGGGTAGAGCTTGAAAAAAACAAATAGAAGACGAATTAATCCAAATTGGTTTAAGGACCTGCAAACACTGGAGCAGCTGAGACCAACAGTTTTTCTAAGGAAAAATAAAGATGACAAGCAATCTTTGCCCTACCCCACACAAATACATAGAAAACCAAGGCATTGCTTAAGCCAGTCCCGATTCTTCCTTGCAGATCATATGTGGACTAGGAAGGAGTCCTTGAAACAGTCATTTTCAAATAGCCCTTTGAAACAATCTTATTTATGACCATCTTTGTCCTGTTCCAGTAATAAGCTGATTTTAACAAAAACTACAAAACAATGGACCATACACTTTACCATAAATTCATCTATCAGTCAAGTTTTCAAGCTTTAAAAGAAAAACCAAACAACTCACAGGATGTGAGGGAAAATTAACAATACTCACAGCATCGGTTTGTGAGGATTCATCCACTGGTTTAGTTTTTATGTCAACAATCCCATCTGCATGGCGAAAAGTACAATCAGCCAGTGCATCGTACAGTGTGAGCTTCTGTGCTTTCAAGCCATACTTCTGCAACCACTCCTCAGAAGTCAAATATTTGTCAGATGTATGCTTTTGTAGTGGATGATCAGCTTTGGTTGCTAATAAACAAAATAAAACAAACAAAATCTCCTGTATAACATGGTTCATTTTGGATAAGCTCTTTTCAAAAACAGAATATGATACTGGAGTCAAAATTTTCAAACTTGCTCTGGAGCAATGCTCTGGACAGCACTGGAGTGAGTGGATATTTCTGATTGATTCTTAATATTCTCTACGTTGGTTGTGGGGGGTTTTTTTCTTATCAGACAATTCTTTGCAACAAATTCCTTTGTAACTGGAACAAATACATCAGAAGACAGAGACTGAAGAAGATAAATAGCTACAGGATCAACATATAAAAGGAATATTCTTAGTAATATGAAAGTTGACTTAACCTTCATACTGGTTGAATTACAAAATGCCAGAAAAGCTTCCTGTATAAGATGTCTAACTTCAAGGAGAATCATTTCAGAAAATGAAACCCCAGAAGACATAATTGAAAATACAGTAGAGAACATTGGTTAATATTGCTGTTAGTCTTTTTCAGAGAAGGCCATTTAAAGTAAAAGGCAAACTACAATGTCTTTGGAAGAGATTTTACTGTGCTTCTCTGTAATACTGCCTTTTTATAGGCTGAATATTGCACTATGTATCCCAAGCCACAAATCACTTGTGTACCTTCTTAACATTTTCTCTTGTTCTACACCCTCCTTGTAGTATTTTTAATTAACACTGAAAGAAACAGGATATTTTTTTTGTCTGATCTGCTATAACTGGTCTTATGTTTACCCTTTTATGTCATAGTGTCTTAGAAACTTTCTAAGGACCATCTTAAGGTTGGCCACTGCGTATCTCTGGATACTGGTAATAGGATACAGAGCTCTAAACTCACTCATCACTAGTTCAATAAACCACACCTAAACCAAATGACTCAGCAGTAGGTCTCATAGCAGGGTGAATTTATTTTGTCACACTTTCATTTCGGTGGACCTAGGTGGTACAAATGTCTACTCTGTTCAAATGCAGCTACAGTGACAACAGTATCAAGATCCTGAGCCTGTAAACAAACCTCTGGAGAGATCTACTGCCTTAACACACACAGAGATCAGCTAGCATCAGGGGAGGTGCAGGGTCAGAACCTGTTCATGTGGAAACATTTGCTTTCTGATTGCTTACAGTCCTTAGAACAGCCAGTGTGGCAAGTTTCACAAATGCACTCACATAATTTAAAAAAGAAAACTGTTGTTTTCTTTCTTCCACATGCTTTACATAAAAAGTCATGTCTCAGTTCAGATAACTAGTGCATTATCTGGAG